TTGTAACCAAAAAAGAAGAAGAAAAAATCAAATCAAATCAATCAACTCTCTAACCGATGGCATCATCGAGCAACAGCAGTAACTACGACATTCCATGGGTAGAGAAATACAGGCCCAGCAAAGTCGCTGACATCGTGGGCAACCAAGACGCCGTCTCTCGCCTCCAAGTCATTGCTCGCGATGGAAACATGCCTAATCTCATTTTAGCCGTATGTTACGTTCCAATCTTTATTTTGCTTCTGCTTCCCTTCCATCTTTTATTTATTCTCTACTGTTGCAACAGTTCTAGATCGAATGTATTTTTTATGTGGTCGCGGGGTAGTGATTATCAACATGATAATGTGATATTTATACTAATTTGGATGAATTGTTTACTGGGTTTGAGTGAAAATTTTGGTGATAAAGGAAATATTTAAGCTATAATGTGCATTGCAATGGATTTTGTGAAATATATCCATACCGATGAATTTTGCATATTCCGGGTTTCGGGTGTTCTAACGAGTGGTTTTGCTATTCGTGGGATGAAGTCGATTCTAGAATTGAGATCACCAGGGAATGAGATTTTGGTCCAAAAGCATCTCCTATTAAGCTTCAAATTATTCAGTGGATAGATGCTTGGAAAAATGAAAATTTCAGGGATGGAATGGAGTTTTAAATCCATATTTGAACCATTACGAATATTCAGGAAAAAAATTAAAATTGCAAACACTGCGGTTGACGCTTGGTTACAGCTCACAACCCACTTTAGATTTCTAACTGGGTAAACTTTCATCTTCTAATTTACTTTAAAAAGGTTTAAATTGAAAAATCGTTGAAAATTAAAAGGGTGGCTTGAATACCACAGTGAAGTTTTACATGAAGATTTGTAGCTATGTGCTTTTCATTGTTGCTTGGTAGATACATATATCCCTTCATATTTTCAGGGTCCTCCTGGAACTGGCAAAACTACAAGTATCTTGGCTCTTGCACATGAGCTTCTGGGACCAAATTCAAAGGAGGCTGTCTTGGAGCTGAACGCATCAGATGACAGGTTAGCAAAGATGACATGCTTCAGGGTGCTAAAGACTTTCCAGTACTTTTCCTTGCTTGCCTTCTTGTCTCATTATCACCTCCTTATTGCTTTCCAGGGGTATAGATGTTGTGAGGAACAAAATTAAGATGTTTGCACAAAAGAAAGTGACACTGCCTCCTGGACAACACAAAATTGTAATTCTTGATGAAGCAGATAGGTATCCAATGATTATCTCTCATTTGGTTGATGGCCAAACTCTATATTATTGTTTTTTTATCTCATTCACGTGCTTTATAATTTTACTTTTCTATTCCAGATTCATTTTGTTCCACCCAGCAACAAGCAGTTCTAGTTAACAAATTTATTTTTATACAATTTTTTAATGGTATTTATTCACTTTTCATCAACCCCTTTCCAGCATGACATCTGGAGCACAACAAGCCCTGAGACGAACCATGGAAATATATTCAAATTCCACTCGGTTTGCTCTTGCATGCAACACATCTTCTAAAATTATTGAGCCTATTCAAAGTAGATGTGCCATTGTTCGATTTTCAAGATTATCTGATCAAGAGATACTTGGTCGTCTCATGGTTGTAGTTGGAGCAGAGCAGGTGAAGGATTTTTAATTTTGCATGATACTGAACACATCAGTACCATTTAAAGCTTAATACTAGCAGCCATTAATCTCATCTATGTGCTTTTCTTGTTTCTGAATTTAACTTGACTGTTAAGATTGGTAATTTCAATTTTCATCATCTGCCAGTTTTTTGTTTGCTTTATCATGCCTGTTCTAAAACTCCTCCCAGTTGTTCACTGCATCAGTGCCTTAAACGTGAAGTGATGGAGCCTGTGCTGCTATCAACAAACTTCTTTATCAATTAAACTACCTTTCTGGTGAGGGAACATGTAAATGAGCTAGTACTCCACAGAATGAGCATGCCTTGACTTTTGAAGGTAGTTCTAAGCTGTGAAAGTTGAAACAAGTGAGAATGAGGCGGAAAACTGACATTTACCTCCATGCAAATTTTAATGGGTCAATCGCCATTTAAATATGCAGGATATTTTATCCCTGAAAACATGATAGATGAACTGGGTATGAAGCAACACAGTCTAATCATATTTAATGACTTTTTTGTGAAACTAGGTTCAGATTCAAATACATCCTGATTGGGAGATTACATGAATGGATGACGCCTGAATTTTCTCATGAAAGTTTACAAGTACAGTTAAACTTGATGGGGACTCTTTGGCATGGCTCCCCAAGATTAAAATCTCAATGAACCTTTGATAGTAGAGCGTGTTTATAAACCTGATGCAACCATCATTGACCTTTATTTGTCTCGATGAAGGTCCCTTACGTTCCTGAAGGTCTTGAAGCTATTATATTTACTGCTGATGGAGATATGAGGCAGGCCTTGAACAACTTGCAGGCTACACATAGTGGATTCCATTTTGTCAACCAGGAAAATGTTTTCAAGGTTACAACCCAAAATTTGTGCATAACCTTGGTATTTATTGTCGCTACGCATTTAGAGAATCTTAGGTTGTCAGTTGTTTTTCAGGTCTGTGATCAGCCTCATCCATTGCATGTGAAGAATATGGTGCGCCAGGTGCTTGAGGGAAAATTTGATGATGCTTGTTCTGGTCTGAAGCATCTCTATGATATGGGCTATTCCCCCACTGACATAATTACAACCCTTTTCCGAATCATAAAGAATTATGATATGGCTGAATATCTGAAATTGGAGTTCATGAAGGTAAAACATTATTGCTTGCCTAGCATTTCCTTCCATCTATCTAATCTATTTATCACACTTTTCTATGACATTATGAGCTTTCAGGAAACTGGGTTTGCCCATATGAGAATCTGCGATGGTGTTGGTTCGTATCTTCAGCTCTGTGGCCTGTTGGCCAAGCTTGCCTTAGTTCGTGACACAGCCAAAGCAGCATAAGTAAAAAGTAGCTCTATTCTGGTAATATGATGGGCTAAGTTGATGCGGAGATCATCCTTGTTTAAATGTTTCAGAAACATGTTTTGTAATGAGAAACTGTAATTAATGGTGGGAGCTAATCTCATCACATACAGTATCCTAAACCGTTCGTCGCCGAGTTGATAAAAATAGTATTGGCAGGATTGACGTTAGAAGCTATAATTGCTGCATGTCAATTTTTGTTGTTTTTCCTCGATGGCTTATCAAGCTTGTTTCTTGTTGATTTTTTAATCAATTATTGTTTCCGAAACCCTGCAATTACTGAGTCGTATTTAGAGTGGACTTAATAGCATAATTAATCAATCAAATGATCATCTGCTGTTTGTCATGACAGGATTATTTGGGTGGAAATGGGTCGCTGCCAGCAGGCCTGTCCCAAAACCCAACATTTTAGAAGCCCAACATTCGGGTCCCTAGCAAAATTAAGAGAGAAGGATAAGGGACTTGCATTATTATTATTTTTGTTGTAGACCATGCTTGCATTATTATTATTTTTGTTGTAGACTGTCATTGCATTATTATTATTTTTGTTGTAGACTGTCATTGCATTATTATTATTTTTGTTGTAGACTGTCATTGCATTATTATTATTTTTGTTGTAGACTGTCATTGCATTATTATTATTTTTGTTGTAGACTATGTCATAGAGAATAATTAAGAGAAAAAATAATTAAGAGAGTGTTTGAGAGTATAATTATGTTTATTTTTTAAAATGTTTTTTTTTTATTTTGAAATATATTAAAATAATATTTTTTTATTTTAAAAAAATTATTTTTGATATTAACACATCAAAATGATTTAAAAATATTATTAATTTAAAATAAAATAAAAATTATTTTTTAAAAAATTATTTTTAAAATATTAAAATAAACAGGATGTAAAGGAGATAGGGGTTGAGGTTACATCGTGTGGCTAAAAAACATATAAATTATCATTGATTTTAATAGTATTATTGTAAAAAGGAAAAAAATTAGTCATTGATTTTAAAAAAAAAGAATCAAGGTGAAATATGAAAATTTAACTTTAATTTTAATTATGAAAATAATATATCTTGATCTCAATAAATTTTATTTAATTAAAATAGTTTAATTTAGGTATTCTTTGGTGTTAACCTTGCTTAAAAATGTAAATATAGAGTTAGGAGATTTTTTTAAAATTTGAGTTGATTTTGAGTTTTTTAATCTATTCTAAAATTCATAATGCTTCTATATTTAAAAGTTTAAAAATAAATTTTTAAATATAAAACATCTTTACCTAACTTTTTAACAATCCTAGTGGCTAGAATTTAAGGCAATATATGACTTTTTATTTTTTTGCATTCATTTGTTTTTCTTATTTAACTGGATTATATTGAGTCTTTTTATTTTTTATTTTTTATTTAATTTATTTTAAAGAATAAAACTTATTTTTAATTTTAAATAGAATTGATTAATTAAATGCAGATATCTAATCACTTCTTTTAGTTTTTTGTTTTTTTACTGAGTGGTGGTCTAGCAACTCATGCAGCTTATTTTAATGTCACATTGCAGCTTTTTATAATGAGGTTTTAACATTCTCAACAAACTTCGATGATGATAGGTTTTAACATTGCAGCCTATTATTGAAATCATGTTATTATATTGTTTAATTTTATTAGATTTTAATGATTTGAATATTAATTTTTTTTTTATTTTTTTTAAATATTACTATTACTTGAACATGCCTGTTGTACTTTAAAAAAGAATTAATGAGCCCATAACATAGCATGGATTACTTATTTGTTCTAATTATATAAAGTAACTAGAATAATAGGTAAAATCATAAAGTCATTATAACCACATGCATTCAATCAATGAATTTCGCAAAACGAGCATCATGAATTTGGTTAGTAAAGCTAATTCGAATTCGTGGTAAATGGAATTATAAATAATTAAATGTAGCGGTCAAGGTGAATTAAATTTTAAAATTTAACCTCCTCGCCCCCAAAAAAAAAGAAAAATGAAAAAGAAAGAAAGATGTATCTGACATGCTGCGAGGCCGGATGGGTTTTTGACTTTACTTCCGACGTTTGGGCCTTTTCTGCCCTAACAAGCAAGAGGGAAAGGCCCAAAGACAATACGAAGAAGGGTTTTTTCGCTAGTTAAATTGGAGAGGTTGCCAACCAGTTAGGGTTTGTAATACGAAGAGGAACATTTCCCCAGCGGCAGAGCGGCGTCAGCACTTTCATAGTACCATGGTTCTCAAGTAAGCCTATCCCCTCTCCTTCTATCTGTATTCCACTCGATTGAATTGACTTAGTAGATCTCATATTTTTAATTTTACTTTT